GGGGAAAAACCCAACAAGCCTTCCACCCACTGCATTCATTGTCATAAAGCATTCGTTGAGGATTTCTATGTGGATAAGGTTAGAGATCACTGCCACATCACGGGTAAATACAGAGGAGCGGCTCATTGGAAATGCAATATAAACTTCAAAGTAGATCCAGAAATGGAAATACCCGTATTCTTTCACAATTTAAGGGGTTACGACAGTCACTTACTCTTACAAGGAACAGACGGATCCGACGTCAAATGCATACCCAACAACAAGGAGCGTTACATGTCCGTAACCGTGGGCAAGCTAAAGTTCTTAGACTCGCAGCAATTCATGGCGGACTCCTTAGCGAACCTCGTGAAATACAACACCAACTTCCCCATTTCCAGCCAATACGGCGCGGAAAGGAAAGGCGTGTACCCATACGAGTACATGGACTCCTGGGAGCGCTTTGAGGAGCCACTCCCACCCAAAAAGAGATTCTACAGCACCCTAAACGAGTCCGGCATAAAGGACGAGGAGTACCAGCATGCCTTGGACGTGTGGCAGAGACATAAATGTAGAACGATGGGCGACTACCACGATATTTACCTACGGTCTGACGTTGTCCTGCTTGCCGACGTCTTCCAAAGCTTCCGGAAGATGGCCATGGAATATTACAGCCTGGATCCCGCAAACTTCTACACCGCGCCAGGGCTCAGCTGGAGTGCTTTGTTAAAGAAGACAAATGCGCAGTTGGATCTCCTAACGGAGTACGACATGTACCGCTTTATGGAAGACGGTATCCGAGGCGGCGTCTGTGGACCCAGCCGCCGTTATGCGCGCGCCAACAACCCCCTGGTAGAGCATGACCCCGAAAAACCCACCACGTACATCTTCTACCTGGACGCCAACAACCTTTACGGCTGGGCAATGTCGCAGTACCTGCCAGTGCGCGACTTTGAGTGGGTGGAGCCGCGGGAGATAGACTACTACATGCRCGTAAGACCGGACAGCCACAAAGGATTCATCCTCGAGGTGGACTTGGAATACCCCGAGCACCTGCACGATGCACACAACGACTTTCCCTTTGCACCGGAGGCTGTGGAGATACCCCCCACGCAGTTGTCGCCGCTGCAGAAGCAAATGTGCCCCAATTACAAGCCCTACCGAAAGCTAACTATGAACCTGATGGACAAAAAGAAGTACGTCGTTCATTACCGCAACCTACAGTTCTACGTGCGCCACGGCTTACGCGTAAAGAAGATACGCCGAGTGCTGAAGTTCACGCAGGAGCCATGGATGCAGCCCTACATCGACTTCAACACCCAGAAGCGCACAGCTGCCAAGAACGACTTCGAGAAGAATCTATTCAAGCTAATGAACAACTCCGTCTTTGGTAAGACAATGGAGAACATCCGCAAGCGCGTAAGCATAAAGATWGYCAGCACCAGAGAGGAAGCAGAAGCATACGTGTCACAGCCTGGATTCGTCAGATACGTGGAGATGCTGAACTTCTACGTGATTCACATGAAGAAGGCGAACCTCTTCCTGAACAAACCCGTATACACAGGCTTCACGGTGTTAGACCTATCAAAGCTGCTCATGTACGAGTTTTACTACGACAAGCTAAAACCCAAGTACGGAGACCGCTGCCAGCTCCTTTACACGGACACCGACTCCTTAATTCTCGAAATACAAACGGAAGACGTTTACCAGGACTGCCTTGCAGACATTGACGAATACGACACCTCCGGATACCCACGCGGCCACTTTCTTTACTCCGCAAAGAACAAAAAGGTAATTGGGAAGATGAAGGACGAGATGCTGGGCAAGCCCATCGTGGAATACGTGGGGCTGAAACCAAAGATGTACAGCGTGCTAAAGCTGGACGGCGTGGAAACATAAGGAGCCAGAGCCACTTGGATACCGACACAAATGCAGGAAATTTTCCCGCATTCCTCGAATTCCTATTGACGGTTCCAGGATTATTAACCACTAGAGGCGACAAAATTATGGCAAGTAGCTGTCAACGAATTGTTTGTTTTAATCCTATATTTTGAAGGCGATTCAAAACAGTATGCCTTTTTATTATGCGATATTTAATATATATAAACATTTAACGATCAATTCATAACAGTAACATTAAATAATAATATATTTGAAAGTTCGAGGATTCATCCTTTTTAGTCGATACCAACGGCAAAAAATGTCAGCATTAGTTTTCAGACACCAGTATCCTCAGTTTTGAAATAAACCCGAAAACCTTAGGCTGGTCTCTTCGTTTAAAATAATTTGACAAACTTGTAGTTTACGAACAGGAATTTTTAGAGACATGCACTCAGACTGAGTGTTTAGAATTCGTGTGAACTACTAAAATACGTGTTTTACACTAAAACGTTTGCTAATTATTAATTAATTGAGAAAACTAGAGTTTGCGACATGATTGTAACAAGTTGCAAACGTCCTTCCCTGTGGGTCTTTGGTCTGGACTCTTTTCTCAGCACTTTCTATAGAGAGATTGAAATTGACAAATTTGAAGTTCTTTGATCACGTATGAATCTTTAAAGATACAACCAAGAGAGAAAATGTCACTGGCCTTACTTTTTTCTGACTCTGGGGCAAGGTGACTTGGTTTGCTGGCATTGTTGGAGGTTTACGTCCACACCATTTATAACCTCTATGATGCTTCTAATCTTCTTCTCTTCAAGAAGTAAAGTCTTGGGGTTTTGCCTAAGTATCCCAGCAAGGATACAAAAACTGGTGCCAACGTAGACTTCATCCTTTCGATAACCTCCTCTTTGTTGGCCTCCGTCAAATACATGATGGTCTATTTGCGCGCCATTTTCGTCTTTAAGATCCTGGAGTCGTATCTTCCTGATTTCTTTAGGAAATTTGCTAGTAAAAGCAGMCCCCTCAAACCTTTTTGTTGACTGACCACATATCCTGGTATTTAGTATGGGGTTCGAGCAAGAGATTATAAACTGTCGTAATCAATTGTGGACGAAGCACTCTCTGATCTGAAGTCATCACGGTCTTATGACTCGAGTTCCAAGACAGTGTAGGATTATATATTTTCAAAAATTGCGCGCTTGTCGAACTTTGTTTGACACTAAGCATATATACACGGTAAAGAATATAAAACAGCAAACGTTATTGAATTTCAAAGCCCTGTTGACATAACCTAATGGGATGATAATTTGATCCATAGCAACAGCTTCATCATGCTAAGGTGAAAGAAAAGTGGTTCTGGCTCCTTATGGAGGGCCAAAGGCGTAAAAAAGTACGTGGTTAAGAAGGACATTACCCACGAGTCCTACTTAAACGTATTACGAACACGTAAGGAGCAGCGACATAAGATGAACTCCTTACGCAGCTACGGGCATCAGATACACAACGTTACGCAGGAGAAGGTGTCACTGTCGGCATTTGATGGTAAGAGATGGATGTGTGATGATGGTATCCATACGATAGCATTCGGACATCACACAATAAGCAGTTCTTCCTTGACGAACCCACGCGTGGGACCATCGTGAAGATAATACGAGATGGGTTGACCCTTCTTAGCTATTGCACTTTGGATCTGGTAAGTTTCCAAAGACCAATTAGGATCCGTAGCTCTTTTGGATCCTCCTTCTAATTCACCCGGCTCGTAGAGATATCGAACCGTGACATTGCCTATTCTCTTTTCCTGGGGGAAGACCGCCCTTGAGCTTCTGACGTAGGACTTGTGTTCCACGTGTTTCTTTTTTATGGCATCCTTGGGTTTCATTCCCGTGGCCCTGGCCTCCTCATTGTTCAAAGCCGCAATGACCTGGGGGAGCCTCTGAGTCCATTCCCTATTGCGTTTGGAGGGATCTTCCAGCTCTTTCCAATACTGGTA